CAGATCCAGATCCCTGCTGCTTTCCAAGGGGGTGAAAATCAGCCAGAGAAAATTGTGTTCCCTAAGGGCACTTCTCTGGAGATCAGGTTGAGTCCTGCCAGCTAGACAGAGCAGGTGAAGGTTGACATTCAAGCATGCTTGAATGCTTTTTGCATTTTGGACAAAGATAACTTGTGTATCAGAAAAAATATTCACACAAAGGTGTGGGACAAAGCTGCCTTAGAGATGTTGCCCAGGAGCCAGGGACTGCTCCTGGCTCTGTGCAGAACACTGAAGGCAGCATGAGCCACCACTGGTACCTCTGGGGGCAGAGCTCAGTTCCAACGCGTGAAATGCAACCATAGATACAGCGTGCCCACAATTTTGCAGGCTCAGAGTGAAAACACGAGCTTGCTTTGCTTTACGTACATCAGTCATATACTGATGGTGGCAGATCCTCACCCACATAGCCCAAGTGCACAGCCATTTTCTGCTGGTGTCAAAGTAGGTGATTTGGGGGGGTGGTTTAAAATGAGGAGGAAGAGGGAATGGGAGACAACATCCTCTAGATCTGACCAGAACCTGAGAGAAATATAACCTTGGCAGTGTATCAATAAGCCATTGTTTGCCCCAGGAATTACTAAATGAAATGAATGAGGTCGCCAATCACAGTGCAGCTAACTTGAGGTGGTCTGAGTGAAATAAGAGTGAAATAGACTGAATAGAAATGTGTGCTCCACAGCACAAGAGAATATGCAAAAGTGTTTCAGCCAAAAATCAAAACAAGAGGGAAGGAGACCAAATGGCAAAGTGACAGGTCACTGCTGTGGGAAAGCTGTTCTCAATAGGCTTTAGTTTAATGTAGACATTGACCGGCCTTCCCGGCCAAGAGTCCTCCTGTGTTTAATATTAGGCTATGGAAACGAAGCTGAACAAAGGAACACTTTGATTGTATGTTTTTACATAATGCTATGTAATAAATGGCATTTCATTCCTTACTGCAGCTCCAGCTCAGTGTTAAACTAATGCAAAGACAATATAGGTCCCAAATCACACATATACATAAAATTACCCACAGTCTGAAGGGCATAGAAGAAACAAAGCCCAGAAGGCAGTAGGAAATGAATGTCAATGATTAAAATAGTAGCAGAATAGATGCAAATATTCTTTATAGGGAAATCCATCGAAGGATGTGATTGCCATAATGAATTCAAGTCAAGCTCTAATGTTTAAAGTACTTTGCCCACTCTTTAGAGTTAGTTCAGCTCCAAGGTAATCATACCCTGCTCTGAATGACTTCCACATACCGATTCACGTGAGGTCTTAAATATGAAACTTCTCTAGCGCAAGTCAGCCAGCCTGGAGAACTGGGTTTGAACTTCTGCTCTGCCACGGACTTGCTTTGTGACCTTGCGTAAGACATTTTGCCTGTTAGTTTTCTTCTTTCCGCAAAATGGGAAGAGTGGTATTATCTTACTTCAGAATAATATTCTGAGGCTTAATTAATAACTAATTGTAATGTACAGCGATTCTAGACTGAGAGTGGCTAAGGCAGCATGAACTACACAACCCAAAACATCCTAAAATGCTTCACTGCACCGCCCAGCAAGTTTCAAAACACTCTGGGGAGCTTCTCATGCTTTTATGTTCCAGTTGATCCTTCTTCCCACAGCTGCCTTGAACAAAAAATTAGAAAGAGGGACACAATATAACACAGAGATACAACAGCAGTTTGAGCACAGAGCTCCTGGGTCTAACTTGGCATGGACTAGTGATTCCTTTGCGGCCCTTAGCAGCTTCGCCAATCTCCATCTTCCATTTCCCTTTTCTCCAAACTGTAACGGTACCTTGGACCCCCACCTTCGAAGGGCATTATAGTGGTTTCTAAATTATGACCTTTCAATGATATAAAATACGCGTCAGTTTTTTTAAATCTTTTTTTTTTCAATGTCTTTCAAACAGCAGAATCGCTCATTCAGTCTGATCTTATTTGTAGTGAACCAAGAAACTATAGTACTAAATTCTTTCTTGCTATGAAATTTAAATATGGATTAGTTAAAGCATCTCTGGTCAAAAGGGATTGTTTTTCCAATAGATCTCATAAACTACTTCTCAATGCATTACCTGCTTTAAAAGCGCGTTGTTTCTAAGCTGGAAAGCAATTCTACCCTGCCTTACACATTGAAATTGCCCGTTACAAACGAAGTCTTAGGTGTTTATTCCAGTGTTTATTCCAACCTACAGCTCAGCTGTTTTGAGTCCAAACTTACATTCGCTCACGTGCACAGAAGATCCATCATTTGAACAGAGCTTTCCCAGACTGACGGTAGGAATCTGAATGAGGTCCTTTATTTCCTGTGCTGTAACAACCAGGCTGCCCTAATTAAATAGCTTAAACATGACAGTCGCTATTAAGTCACTTCTGTCAACACCGTATTAGACATGTTCCAGCCGTACCGGTGGATCGCGGTTAAGCATGAGGACAAAGGTGGTGGTCCCCCTGGCGACGTAGAGCAGTGAAATCTGGTAGTGGATCCCTAGGAAACTTACTCAAAGTAGTCTGGTACTCTAAAGAAGTAGTAAGGTCTTTGCAAATAATTCTAGCTTAGCAATTAGCTTTTGCCTTGCTTACTCTGTGGGCAACCAAACACTGCTTTACGAAACATTACAACATTTAGCGTGTTTCTATGTGTAAGTTCAACAACTGGTGGCACTGCAGGACGACTGTTTTCCTAACTAGTCAAATTTGAAATTCATGTTTTGACCGCTTATTATCTTTGTGGAAGAAAGCTGATAAAACACAACGCAACTGTTTTAAACTCAAAATTAAATGTGAGGTGACGCAGCATTTGAAAAAATTCTTCTCAGATCAGGGTCATCAGAGACTACTTCAATGTTATTATGAAATAAACAGCAGAAAATAGGTATATACTGGCAGAATTTCTTACAGAAAATTGGTAAGACTAGACTGCCATCTCATGGATATTGACTAACCTGAGATTGTACCAAATTTGAGGAAAAAAAAACGAGTTGATGCTGTCGCATTTGGTAAAACCAGATGGGTTCGTAACATCTTCCTCTTCCTTTTAATCATTAGTATACAGTCATTATTTATTTTCATGTTCTTCATTCATACCGAAGAGATTCAAGGAAAGGAAGAAACACACGCCCTAACGCCACACGCAATGGCTGAATTCAGGTCAGTGTCAGCAGCAGCAAAACCAAGAGAAACAGAAACCCAAAGTTATCATAAAGCTCCAGTCTCTTAACCATTGGGTAAGGATAAAAGACTGGGGTATTTTGTGGCTTTAAAATGGTACCACTGGTGCTCTGGTGGGGTGTTATTCCTGCTCTGCAAATTCCTGTGCAAAAGCCAGTGATACGGGAAAGGGGGGAGATGGAAGCGTGTTTACTAGCCGAGGTTAAAACAGAGTTTGGGGACAGTGAATGTGTTCTGCATGCTGCAAAGTTTGCTCAGTGACCTTGAACACACTGCTGTCCACCAGGCTTTGCAAAGCAGCCTGAAATCTGCCTGAGGCACACACGAGTAGCACATTATCTCTGTCTCTTTGGCCAGTTCACGATTTCATTCAAATGTTCACGACCTTGACAGTATCATTGTCATTTATCTTTAGACAATCTATGAAATTCCCATTCTAACCTGCTTTCCTAGGTCTTTATCCTTGTATGAGCTTTTAAAATACAAATGGGGGTACTTAAATTTCTTCAGAAATAAAAATGTTCTACATGGTAAATATGTATTTTTCTCATTTACCGAGTTTCTTTAATGAAAGCTTGTTTGGTAAAGGTTGGTCTGCTTTTTATATATAATGACTGCAATATCACAGTTTTTGGAAAAAAGTATTAAATAAAGCCATAAATATAACAAATGATGCAAGAAAAATGCACTTGGAGAATTATGAGAGTATTTTCCAAACCAGTAAGACGGTAATTTCAGGTGTCAAGACTTCTACTTTAGTGAAGTGTTTATTCTTAGTCTAACCATCGCTATTTATTGATTTCTGCAATGCCTCTCTCCACTCTAATTTGCCTCACAGAATTATGAGTTACATACCGACCTCAGGAATGCAGAAGCCATTACGACCCTGTGAACTACTCTCCACCACTGTTCCCTAGATCATATTCGGTACTTCCTAAAGGCCGGAGATTAAGTAGGTAACAAATTTCCTAAAATCTTTCTGTATTTAGCAGCAGAGGGCCTGCCATTTCAATACTGTTTCTATAGATACCACTGAACTTGTAGTACCTCCGAACCAGAAGCTAGCTGGGGAGCGACAGAGTAAAGGAAGAGTTCATCTTTTGAAAGCAAGCTGTTAATAAACCCCAAAGTTCAGGTGTAAATGGCAGTTGAAATATGTACTAAACTAAATAAGTACTGCCCCCCCCATCACATAATTTAAATAAAGGGGGTGGGGGTGGGGAAAAGAACCAACAGGGCAAAAGTACAGCCGTGATGTAAAATAGCTTAGGTCTCCAGGAGATTTATTTTGGTCTACTTACAGAAACTTGTTTTTCCCAGATGTGGGAAAATAATATTCTTGCTGAGAAGATAATTCTATTTCAGTTCTTTAAATCACGATTCTCGCTTATTTTTTTTCTCAGTTCAAGTCACTTGTCTGTAATAAGACAGCATATCATCTAAACTTTGGTAAAGTGGTTCTTGATTTTGAGCGTCACTGCTGTCGGTCTGTGCTGACGGCGGCACATCTTGCGCGCTGCAGCTGCAGGCCTGCGCCGACGGCGTCACACCTGGGGCGGTGCAGTCGCAGGCCTGCGCCGACGGCGCCACACCTGGGGCGCTGCAGTCGCAGGCCTGCATTGGTGGCAGCGCATCTTGGGCGCTGCAGCCATAGGCCTGCATTCCTGGCGGCACATCTTGGGCGCTGTAGCCGTAAGCCTGCATTGAAAACGGCATATCATGAGTGCTGTAGCCGTAAGCGTGCATCGGTGGCAGCATGCCTTGAGCGCCATAGCCATAAGCCGGCATTGGAAATGGCATATCAGGAGTGCCATAACCGTAAGCCTGCATTGATGACAGCACATCTTGAGCGCCATAGCCGTAAGCCTGCATCGACGGTGGCACACCTTGAGCACCATAGCCGTAAGCCTGTGCTGATGGCAGCATATCCTCATCGTCGCTGCTGTCATCCCCTGATGATGATGTCCCATTTTGAGTGTCATTGCCACAGGCCTCTGTTGATGCTGACTCATCTTGAACATTGCTGTGGTAAGCCTGCACTGAGGGTGGCACATCTTCAGTGCTGCTGCCGTTGGCCTGCACCGATGGCATCTGTTGCTTTTGTCCTGTCTCCGTTTCCAGTTTTTCAGAGGAGGTTTCAGGGCTGTTCAAATTCTGACTTCTGTAATTATCATCTTTCTTTTGTCCCATGAAGTAATCAGAAGGTGGTGCAAATTCTGGATCTCGCTCGTCTCTGAGTTCGTCCTGTTTCTTTGACCATTGTCCAAACATCAATTCTGTTAGAAACAGGGAAAATGGTAGATTGAATATAGATTTCAGGGTCTGAAGATCAGTCAGCAAGGAGGGAAAACAAATTAGCAAACAGAGAAGATGCAGCTGTGTAGAGCCATTTGAAGTTACTTTTCCATCTAGTACTAGATTGCAGACTAAGCTGACAGTCCACTTTCTTTACAGAGCAGGAACAAAAGCATTGAGCGTTAAAGATCACCACCACCCTCTATAAAACTCATCCTAGTCAATTTAAGATCCTTTAACAATATGGCCATTGGTTATGAAAAACGACTGATTAGTTAGGCATAAATCAAAACACAAAACAATCAAAGCATTAAGAGCTTAGTTATTAGGAGATGGAGATGATGAGATTAACTCTAGTGGGCACAGGCGAAAACCAGTAACAACTTTATTTCAACAGAAGTGGTAGATATTCTAGTTGCTATGACAGCTGCCTATTTCTGATTAAAGATAGTTCTGAAGTACTGCAATGGAATGACAGCCCAAGATCACCACACTTACAAAGATATCCCCCAAATCTGCTCTGAAGACGTCCCCCAAACCTATTCTCTAAAACCAGTAAAATTCTTTTCAGTATTCGTTTCTACCAAGACTTCTGTAGAAGGGCTACACATTTGTCTGATGTGGCAAAATAGAGCCCCAGTCAGAGCAGGACTTCCTCCTTTGCTTTGGTAAAAATATAAAAAAAATATGAAATAGTAAGGAGGAAAGCATCTAAAAGAGTGAGGAGTTTTGTTTATCCCTTCTTATACTAATGTAGATGCTTGTGTTACGCTTATGTTCAGTGAACCACAGTTATTTTACTTCACATTTTAGAGTAAGCTGTCCTCTGCTTTCTGAGTGTAGTATTTGTTGTGTAGTACAGTGCTGCCTGGGCATCCGCCAGATACTAGGATTCCTCAGAGGCAGGAAAAAAACAGTGTCGGGCAGGACAGAGATTTAACAGATAGGACCTGAAAGTTTTGGTTTTTAATGGAACCACAAAGTTTCCCCTCACAACGATGTTCATTAACTGAACACAAAGAGAGACTGTGAGAAGTGAACAGAAGCCGGTAATGTCAGCGTTGCACAGAATAGGAACGCTGCGTTTAGAGGAGTACTAAAGAAGGTGGACATTTATGTGCTTTGCCTATTCCTCGTTTGCTTTTACTTAGAAGTCAGGTGTCAGACTACAAGAACGTGCATGACTTAGATAACTGGTGCAAAATGAGTTAATGGGTTTGGGAAGGATCTAGAAGGCAGGCATCACTTGATGTTGTGACAAGGAAGATGCTTCAAGATGGGGCGTTGGCACTGAAGCGGTCTCTGCTTGCATCACTTTTTAGTATCGTCCTGTGCCTGTTTCAGCGTAATACATTCTGCCATCACATAGCACAAACTACATAAATACATCAAGAAAACACCACACTGAAAGACAATAAATCTTATGAACTATGAAATTTGTCATTCTGTCAACTTCTCTGGGTCACCTGGAAATGGAATAACTCATATAGAAGAAAAAATCACGGGGACATTGTAGCAGCTACTGGCACTAAGGCATGCCTTGTCCATCACTGCCCTGGACACTAGAGAGTCATCAATACAAAGGGAGAAATATTTCATTGCTTCTCAGTCTTACCATACTTTGTCACAAAACAGAAATGAAAAGAGCAGTGCGCACACTGCTTCCAAACAATGTTTCTGAATCTACATTTCCTTACCTTTGCCTTTATCCCACTCTCGGACATAAGGCACACCAGGCTTTGTATCTCTTCTCTCCTGGATGACAACTTCTACCTTTCTACTTGCTGCAGTAACTCTCGGAGCTTCTGGTTCGTCAGTAACACCTTTCGACTCTATGTTCCAGAAAGAGAGAGTAGTTTTTGTTAGTAACAGCATAAAATCTGCATGAACCTCATAGGAGGAACGGGAAGCAAGAGTATTTGCATTTACAGAGCTCATACTAGTGACCTAACTTCATTCTAATAAAGAAATGCATCTGAGTGGGGAGGCGATTTTTTTTTTAATTACTGCATATTATGCATATTAAACATAAGAAAATGAACTGCATATTAGTTAGAAAAGAACCCTAACCCTAAGAAAAGATAATGGGCAAGCCAGATAATCAGGAAGCGCATCTACCAAGAGACACTTCATTAGCTTTCTAGTTGTTTCAAAAAGACTGCTGAAAATCTATTGCCCAATAACCCAAAAAGGAATGTGTTGGGTGTCATACTGAAGCTAGAAAATTAGGTAAAAACAAGAACATTAGCACGTTATCTCCATTTCCTTTAATGGAGAAAACAATTTGCATTCTTATTCTTCTGAACAACACTAACAGTTAGCAGTGGCACATTACTGTTCTTCGTTTCCAGAACACTTCCCAGTTAATCACTGGCACAGAATTCTGACACGCTGAAATATCAGCTACATTTTACAGTGGGAGACAGACAGTACAAGTTGACTAGCAGTGCCATAAGGGAGACAGCGCAGAGATGGGAATAGAACTCAAATTCATCATCCTAAATCCCGAAGTCAGCTGTATGTCCAATTTACAGACTGCACTGAAACTGTAAGAGTGTATATTATAGGATATCAAAATTAACTTGTTAGTAGTTTTTATTCTACCTCATCTTAAAAAAGAAAAAGCCAGTAAAATTTCAGCAGCTCTAACCTACAGGTGTGAATCCAAAAAAGCCTACAATTTACGTATCATATTTCTACCTGCATTATTAAGCTATTTCCGACATGATTTGATATCTACATGCAATTATATGAGCTCTCACTATCTTAAGTTATACTAATTGTATCTATAGAATACATAATACCAATATATTGAATGTCCAAACCTAAATCAATTAAAGTATGCCTGTCCATCGATCAAGTACAAGACGAAATAGCAAGTATTTTAAGTTAAAAAGGCAGCAGATCATACCTCCATTCTCCAATTTTTCTGCCTCTTCCTCTAATCCAGCTTCCCTTAACTTCTTAATCTTCCGTGCTCGAAGTTTAGACAGCCTTGCATCTAGAGCTGCCTTCCTTTTTTCTTTTAACTGTTCACGTTTAGTTCTCTGATCGAGTGTCTTAACAGCAAAGAAAAACATGAATTAATCTTCCTTTGTTATTATAACCAGCTACATATCTTCCTTCACTAAACAACTAAAAGCAACCCTCATCAAGTACCATATTTCAACAGGGAAAAAGAGGCCCAACTTTTCTGGAGTCAGCTGCAGGCATCACCTAGTATAAGACTTACACAAGAAATCAAACACAGCGACCACGGAAACTAGGATGTCCTCATATCCCAATTTGCTCTTTAAACTCATACCTGCTCTCTTAGCATATCCAGTGTTGCCCGTTGTTTATTCCTAAGTTCTTTGTCACGAGAAAAGGCAAAGTAACCAACACCAAGCTGCCTGGCCTCTGAAAAGAAGAATTTAAGTTACACTCAGTTTATAATTAACAGTAAGTACAACACCATGCACCCTGCTTTCAGGCACTGAATTACTCCCAATGACATACACTGCATTAGTTTTAGATGGCTAAAATAGGAATGTTTTAGATGATGCATGAAGTGAAGCTTCCTGAAGGAGAAAACAGGAGGATGTAAGGAAATCTGAAAAATAATTTTGAGAAAAATACAATTTGGGGAAAAATAAATCTAGATTTATGCACTGGTAATTTGAATGGTTATTACACATGTGGCTTAACACATACCTGAAGTTTGCCATAAAGGCACAAGAAGTAACTTTCCCTTGCTTCCTCTAAAACCAATCTCTTTAGTGATATAAGTGATATAAAGTATGGAAGTATACCGTTTTCTCGAATGTCCTCATAATGTATGGGTCCCATGGGTTTTCTGAGGGCTTCTTCTTCTTCTTTTTCCCACTGCTGCCTCTGAAGTTCTCTTCTCATGTCTTCAGATAACAGAGTATTCCCATCAGGACCTTGTCTAATTGGAAAAAAAAAAAAAAAAAAAGAAAAAAGAAAAAAAGTTAGGGATTACAGAGCAGAACTTAGCAGTTTTACAGAATCAAACAGTGGAAGTATGATGGGGTCTGACCCACTGTTGCAGTTTTTACAAAACATAGATCATGGTAGGCACCATTTTGTGATGCAGCATTGATGACTATGGTATATGGTGAAGACAGAAATACAAAACTACCTCTGAAACAAAGTACTAGTAGAACATGTTATTAAAAGACTTAAACAAAATCATAGCCTTTCTTACAGGCTTTATGAAATTATTATCAAATCACAGAATGGGAGGTGAAATAATCACTTTCATTGGCATCTGTTGGGTGCTAGCAACCACATATAGAAACATTTCAGATTTAAGATAGGAAAATTAAAGGTATTTGAAATAACAGAAAGCTAGCCATTAATTTACCCTAGAAGTCCATGCCAAATATTAATACCCAATATGGGAAATACTTTTGTTTTCCCAAGAGAAGCAGCAGGATCTCTTTCTTTTATTGTCTAGCTAAAGCCGGTTTTGCTGACCGACTGTCATCCATATCAATGCAGAGACTGCAATTTCAAAGCACTCATATTCTCCATCTTATGTTTAAAATACAGAGAACACACTAATGAGTTGTTAGTGTGAAAGAATTTTCACTTCAGCAACAGTACAGGCTTAGTTGAGGTGCCTTTAGATTATTTTCTGAAAGCAATTCTCAGTGCTCCCATAATAATTTTAACAGAAGAGCTATTAAACAGCTGTTTAACAGAAGAGCAAAACCAAACAAACGGAGATCTAACAAATTCACTTGGAATGCCACGATGAATTTGGAATTGCTAAAAGACTAAATCAGTTTCCAGGTTAAACAGAACCAGGAATCACTTCTCTGGCATTTTCTGGAAGGTATAATAAAATACAATTTCCATAGAAGTACCACAGTTTTAGAAGATGCATCAAATATCTGAGAGATTGCTACGTCAATTTATTAGAACTTTTCCCTGCAAGCTATGCTCCGTAAGTGAGGTTTGAGATTTGGTCAGCATTTACATCAAAGAGTGTGCCTCAGTAGTTTATTAAAAAATCCATTTGGGCTTTTATTTGATATCCACGGCCTCCATTCTGTTGCAATTTAAAACCAGTACACCAGCCATGTATTTCAAATGGTGAACTGCCAGGGTGCAATAAAACAGAAGCCTTGGAATACTATATGAATTTATAATAGGAAGTTTTGATAAAATCAGAGTCATGCACAATTGCTCTGTAGCTACTCTGTCTATTTTTTAAGGCACAATGTAGTCACCAGCAGAAGCTGGTGTAAAGTATATCTAGAGGAAGCAGTAGCATCAACAATTCTGGATTGAGAATGGGATAATACAGAACAGCCTCTCTCCCTTCTCGTTAAAAAAATGTATGTTAAATACTGCAAGAAACAGGCACATCCATTAGAGAAACCACACCTTTTCCCTTGCAATTCCTGATCCATTTTAAGTAGACTTGGCAAATCCTTCTTCATACAGCGTCTAGATCGGCCCAAGAAATCTACATAATCAACCCTGTAATGAAAGCAAAGGAAATTTGATGTAGAACTTCTATGTGCAGATTTACACAACTCTTAACCAGAAGACAGAAGCAGTGACACTTTCCAAAGAGTGTTCAGCACCTCTCAGTCTCTCCATGTGTGACAGCTTCTTCTACCCTTCAGTTAACAGACTCGGAGGTTAAGAGGACACATTCTGAACAGGGCACATGACAGTTTTATCACAGACATTTACTCAATCTCACTTTGAGCCGGCTGTTTGCCTTGGCAATAAGACGGTGTAAAAAAGTGTTCAAAAGTTGCAATGTCATGTAATTTTCACACCAAAGTAAAACCGAGCCTAGCACTTGCTTCCCACAGTGAAAATAATGATGTGGCATTGACTTCTTGCGGATATGAAATTGCTACAATGTATTTCAATTACCAGTCTAAAACTCATTTAGAATAGGCTGATAGCATTCATTCAACTGGCATAACAAAGGCTGACTAAAATGCAAGCAAAATGGTCCTTTGAAGCACATATTGTGCTTCTTATTCAACTCTTTATAGTGCTGAACACTTAATTTACAGTTGTTGAAAAAGCTGTTAAGAGCTATACTTATTGTCCTGTAACGCTAGAAAGTTCTTTAGCATCAAGCTGCCTCAATTATCCCATTCTAAAGAATTAATATCACATCTGAAAAAGTAGGACTGGTAATCACGTTCCCAAAAACCAAACTTTTGAAGATCTGTGCTTTTAGTACGTTTTTTACATAATTTCTAAGGATATCTAAAGCTTACTATATACTCAGTGCCCTTTGTTTTTTATTATAATGTAGCATCAGTAGAAAAAAAAAAGTCTGCATTCCCTATAGTAAAGATGTAACTAGATGTAATTAAATATTGCTGCAGAATAATTAGCATTAATTATGCTAGCACCCAAATATCCTCATTAGGCTATGGCCTCACTGAGCTGGACAATATAGTCATAATAATACATGGCATTGATGAGAGATGCAGGCAATGACAGAAAAGCACCATGTGAACAGTAAAATGTACCAGTTTGAATTTCTGACACTTTACGGTGACGAGAGCAACAAAGCAGTTTGAGCCCATCGCTCATTAATAGCTTCATCTTGAATTTCAGCAAGATGCTGGTAATGGGTGTATCTGCCTTTCCAGCCTAGCAGTCTTCTGGTACTCTGCTGGATCCATTCTCCCAATTTATTCTGAAACATAACGTTGCAAATCTTATCTTGCCCTGATAAACCGGAGAACGGGAGTGCTCTGTTTCCTGTCGGTCACTGCTGTTTTAACCTGATTACCAGAAGTAAAATCTCTGTTCCATAAGCATTTTAAACAAAGCGGTAAGGAAAATGTTTAGTCAGGCCGGTTTCATAATTCTTCCTAATGTTTTGGATGAAAAGGTAGTGGTTACTTGGAACGTCACAGAAAACTCTTACAATTTGCTGTGCTGCAGTTAAACAGTGGCAGAAAAGCTGGAAAATAGCGTTCTTTCTCCAATCAGAGTTTCTCTCCTTTAAGAGGAGGTCATACAATGAAAATGACTGCTCGTTTTATAAGTCACACACGATTAGAGAAGGGAAGGTGGATACAATAAAACCCCTAAGGTTTGCTAAAGTACATTTCAATTCAAGACACCAAAGCATAAAATTGTATCAATACTGTGATCAGAACTCCCATAAACTACGCAAGAACATAAGAGAGGATATTACAGTGTCTCACTTATAGTACATTTCCCTGACTGATATTTCTCAAAATCCTGGATGTAGATTCTATTACAGTGCTACCTACATGGAAAGGAAAGTTAACATGAAGGACTGTCTTTTTTAATGAGACATGAAATGAAAGAATGTTACCACCTCTTCTCAATGTGTAGTATTAACCACAAAAAACCAAAGGTGCCATGCCACATCCTTCGGGGAATAAAATTATTTTCTCATGCAATTGTCAAGAACCAGACTAGTCAGGACAGCTTAGCCCCATCAGTAGTACCAACCATTCTTCATCTGGGTCCTCAGGCGGTGGTATTTCCATTTCAGGTTGAGTTTCCTCATCATCTGTCTCTTTTTCTAAAGTCTTTCTAGCAGCTTCGCTCTGATACAGTTCCTGTACTTCGTGCTGTTTGTCTATGATCTTCTGAGTGAAATCCACTAGGTACAAATCCTCAGTTTCTTCATCTAAGGCAGAAAATCAATTCTTAGAGAACAGCCATGAAAAGAACAGAACTGAGCACAAAATCAACACGAAATAGCCACAATCAGCTTTTCAGCTGCTAGCAATGCCCTTGACCACGCTATTGGGGAATACTTAAATCTCATTCAGTGCCAAGCAAACTTGGAGCTATAAATTGGCTCCACAGTGATAACCTCTGTTTCTGAATATAAGTTTTAGGGGTTTTTTAAGCAATTAATCATTTATGTATAATACAGAAAAGGCTGCAGTCTTTGCACTAAAATATGCTCTGCTCATTAACCATTTCAGAAGTATAGGGTTTGTTGCTTAACAGCTCAAATACTTATTTGATGCTTAACATTTGGCGTGTTGGCAGTTGTGTGTTAAGCAGTCACTAGAGTAGTTTTTAGAAAAGCAGAGAAAAGTGGTGGGGTCACATCTGGAAGATGGACATTAGTAAAAAAAAAAAAACCATCGGAGATTAATTGCAAGGAGATTTGGATTCTATTTTAATAATTATGTCTTGCAAGGGACTGAATGAGCGAGAGAAGAAAGGGACAGATTAGAATTCTCTAACCCTATTAGCTGCATGACTGGCATTCACAAATGGACCAGCCAGACTCCCCTCCTGCTCCTCTTCTCTTTGTAAAGGTCCAAGAATTGGAATGCAGGACAGAAAACCAGCAATATAATCCAAAGACTGCATAATGGAGAATAAATTAACTTCGTTTTTCTAAGATTGTGTATTGAAAAACCGGAATAGATTCCACCCACTTAATGAATGAGTGAAACAAGCCCATAGTGCTTCACTAGGACAGGCTGCCCTTCAAAAAAGAATTTTATTTTCTCTAGTATCTATATTTTTTCTCCCTTTCAAAGCAGAATAACCCATGTCAATCACTTTGTATAATAACTCCAAAAAAATTTCCTACGTAAGAAGGCAAGCAGTGAATTCATACTGTAGCTGCTGTAAATTGCCAGATAGTCAGAAATACCAACTTTTAGGGTGAACTTTAGAAACAAATTTTTATATATATAAAAAATCCTTATTTTAGGCTAGTTTTGTTCACCTGGGAAGTCGCCTTTTGTCATTTTCTCATATAGCTTTGCTTTCTCTTCTAGTTTCTTCCTGAAAAAGAAAAAAACTTAACATTGCAATTCCCAACACAGTTCAAAATGACCAATTTAGCTTTAGATAAATGGAACAGGAAAGTACCAGGAGTGCTTGAAATATTTACTAGAAGCTGACTTATGCCTGTTTTTTGTTTTGAACCTTAACTGACTTTTCTGAAGATAAATAGATATGCAGTTCCAGAGTTTATACTGAAAATAACTTTAGTGAAGTTAGAGAATTAATCTTAAGTATAGTTTGTCAAGTAGGCAGGAACACAATGTAACAAGTATTCCACCTCTATCTAACTACTACGGTCTGTCACATAAATACCGGAAGCTAGACCATTATTTGCAGGTATGAGATACTAAAATAGTGTTTTACAGGGAGAAAAAAAAAAAAAAAAAGAGAAAGATATAACATGGAGTTACACTTATGCTTAGAAACTGAAGAGAAAACCTTAGCTAATTTCTGGAATGGTAGAAAACTTTGAAGAGCTAGGAGCTGCTTACAGAAAAACAGCAAATGGCTTATAAATTGCATTTTCAACATATATCTTATTGTACAACTAACCCATTTAGAAGATGGGTCAAGTCCTGCAAAAAAGCAAGCGTTTTCTGTCAAGTCCAAGAAACGCTTTGCTACAGAATTCTGATGTATCGCTGCCCTGGCTTTTAAGTCTAATGATGACTTTCAAAAATCAGTAACCTGACATACTTAGACAGCTACGATAATGTGAGGGCAGATATCCTCAGAACACGAGACTGCTGGGATGCAGCCTGTACGTTACTGGTAAAGAGCATGGAACTGGTGCTGGTCTTACTGGTCGGTCTAATGAGAACTGCTGGTCCAAAACGTGCATAACTTGCTCTATGTGCTTTTCTAAACACTGAAAAACAAACTCTACAAAGCATTCTTTTCTTACAGAGCCTAAGAGTTACCTTGATTTATCTAATATATGCTCCTCTTCTGTCTTCTGCTCCACATCTTTCTCGGCTCGATTTGCAACTCCTGTGTTTTGTTTGTTCCAGATGCTTGGTTTCTGTGGAGTACAATTTTAAAACAACAAATAAAGAAATAAAAATATTGACATGATAATGATTAAAAAGTGTTTCAACTCCACAATGCAAACTTTGGAAATCAATCATAAAAGACTCTACAAATAACACCTTAAACATGTTTGACTTGAGACTACACCTATTGTGCTATAGGATGCAGCAGGTATGTCCCAAAATTACACAGACTGCAGTACGATAGAATAGTTTAAGGACAGGCTGAGAAGCAAAAAAAAAAAAAGGACTGAGAAATCAGACAAAATCTATTCTGGCAAAGATGTTATGGTTAAAAAAATTAATAAGAATTGCTGATTACTAAAGCAGTAACAAAGCTATGAATTGTTCCTATTCTCTACTACCTTCATTTTAGATATAAAATACAATCAGTTTGCCTGTTTACAGCATAACACTGTAAATGCTGCATGTTCTTCAAATATGGCAGCAATACTATATCCTACTACTAGAAAGCTACAAAATGAATAAAACCCAGCGTGCGGTAAACAATAAAGCATGAGAGATAATGGTGTATTCATTATTATACACCGCGATACAGAGGAACAGATAGCAGATGATTAATCAAGAAAGTTCAGTGAGATTCTGGAAGAGTCTCTCATCCTCTGTCCTTCATGCAACCATAAAAAATCTTGGAGAAACAAAGAAACATCTTTCCCTGTAGTTACAAAAGCTGTGGCTCCCTGGAGAATGAAGATTAAGAGATGATTTTCATGGGCATAAGCATGAGATGAGTTTTCTGCTGTGCACAAGAATCTCACCTGGAAATGAGTTGATAGAAATTTAAAGAACATCCTCATCATGCAGATTTTACATCTGAATAGCAACACAGCTCTGAGTATTTATTTATTTAGATTTGAAAATGAACTTCCTTACTTTAAGGAGAAAGAATGACAAAAACAACAATGGAAAAATATTTCTACCTTATTAGAAGATTTGGGCTTTGCAAAGATGCCAGCATCTTTCAATAGCTTTTCTTTCTTGAATTCTTCTTGCTTTCGGAAGAGTTCTGCTTTGAGATCTACCAACTACATCAACAGCAAAATAAACAAATAAATAACCAAGACATATCACATGCCTATACATCAGTTACTGTAATAAAATAATAACTGTATTTCTAGTAAAACAACCTGGCATTTGCAGTTACATGTGCATTTGATTGCATTTTTATGTGGAACCTCGAAGCACTGATCCGATCACAAAGATCACTCTTAAGTTTACAGCAAACAATATAAAAAAAACCACGGAATGCAAATTATGATTAGGAATTTAAAAAAACCCCAAAGATATCCTTGATCCTTTGATATATAATAGGAATAAGAGAGACATCATTCCATACAGATTTTACCAGCCTCCTGATGACAAACAAATAGAGGAGGGCTGATGAAATAACACTACTGAATTTGAAAAGGAAACTTCTAACCATTAGATAATGAATAAAATCCTGTCTCAGAAAAGAATTCATGAAAGTTTGCTTTCATAAAATACATATACTTTTCCACTGTTTTATATACTGTTTATATAGTTTTAGACTCTCTCTCTTTTTTTTTTTTTTTTAAATAAATATTTAAGTAGCATTGCCATCTGGGACCAACGCCCATCTCATCTTTTATTAGGAAACGTCACCAGCAGGGCTATTATCTTGAAATTAAACTAAAAACCACCTGGTCTGGAAGAGGATATTGTGCCACTTTCCCTGCAATTCCTACAGAAGACAAATTTCACAGATGTACATTAAATCAGGAAAGTGGGAGACTTTGGTACTAATATTTGTCCCAAACACTAAAGGATTTGCTTTTCAGGTCCCTGTAACAATGATGCATAGTGTTGCAAATGAAACCTTTTTTTTTTCCCCTCTGAATGTTTAGAAGTGATTATCCAAAAATACCATGTTAAATGCTTCATATACAACACAACCCACAGTTTATGTGAACCGTTTATTTGGAAAAAAGAAGCGTTTGGTAGCAATCTCTTGCTAACAGACTGCTGGGGAGCGGAGAGGAACAGGACCTCGCCACCCCTCAGGCCGGGGGCTCATTTGCCGAGACACCGACCTCCTCCTGCTTGGAAAATATCAGGAAATCCACTCGCATTTCCCTCTCAGCCCCTAATTTTATCATTACATCACGAATGGGGGCAAATCCAGCCCTGGCACGTACGCTCGGTCAGAGAGGCGAAGGGGCTGAAC